GATGGGGTAATGACATGGCCACACCTGAGTGGGTCATCATGAGAATTAAAGTGCTCCTGTAGGTCCAGAGAACAGCGAAATGAGACGATTTCCCAGAAATCCTGTGAACCAGCCCTCAGTTACACTCACGTACCAGGGAAGTGTTGCATCACAGTGGCACTGATGTGCACCAAGCCTGGTTCCAGATCTCACCCTCCCCGAGTGGGCACTGAACCTCTTCAGCCAAAGTGAGGGAGCTGGAACCGCACTGGAATTTGCAAGGCTCATCCCAGCCCAGGGCAGGATTCTGAGAGCCAAACCTCCCCTGAAGCTCTGCTTTTATCTCTTCCATACTTTGGGATTCCATATGAGATTTCATTTGAAGTAAAAAGTTTTCACTGCTTATAAACAAAGTTCTAGAGCCACTGCCTAAGGTGATCTGTAACTTTTAATTGCTAGAGTATACAGATTTAACTTCAGTAGTCTCAGATTTGAATTTAGATATATACTAGATATACAAAAACAACACACCTCAAAACAACTCCCCCAAGCTGCCTGAAAATACTACCCCAAGAAGCAAAACCCACAAAAACTGAAGCGAACATCAGATTTCAATGCATTTTTCTGCTTTTTGTGGTTTTTATAAGAAATGACTAGTTTGAGAACAATCCTCAACCTTCCTTCCCTTTATACCGCTTTGTCTTTTTCTGAGAATTTAGAGAATCTTATATATTCCAGAAACTGCACAGAGATCAGAAACCCAGGAGTGAACAAGCTGCAAAGTCTCTGTTCCTAAATGTTCTGTGCCTATGTAGGAAGAGGGACAGCCAATAAGTAACCCAGGACTATGACTGAGCAGGCCCTGGAGAGCACCTCATGCAGTGGAGCGGGACGTGATAGGCAGGGTCTGACCCTCAGGCAGGGCTGCCCAGAAGGCCCGAGCCCAGGCTGGCGGCCCATGACCTGGGGGCCTGTGCTGTCTTCCTACTGCTGCGCTGGCCCTGCCCTCCTGTCACTTCTGAGAAGTGTGTGTGGCAGGATGCTGGGCAGACCCAGGCCCACAGCAGTGACAGCGGCTCCTTTCCTTTCTAAGAACTTGGACTCTGAAATGTTTGGATCTGTACATCAGAACTTCTCAGCGGAACGATAGTTTGCCAGTTCCTCATTTTATATATTACTTTTTGAGCAGGCAATCTATTTACCTGAGTCAAAATCCAGAGAGTATAAAAATCAGGTGGTATGGCTCTAGAACCAGGAAGCGTGGGTTCAAATTCTAGATCTGCCACCAAATTGTGTGACCTTGGGCAAGTTATTTAAGGATGCTGTGTCTCAGTTTCCTCAGCCGTTACACACACACACACCTGCACATGCAAGTGCGTGCACACACACACAAACACAAATACACACCCCTGTGCAGGTATACATGCACACGCACACGGTGCCCTCCTTATGTGGATGGTGGGAGGCTGAATTGAAGACTCAGCAGTGTTTCGGTTTAAAACAGCAAATCCAAACAAAAGGCACCATGTGACTGAAACCCCAGAGGGTCCCGGACCACCACAACCCTGCCTCCCTCCTCCTGATGACAGACACTGGAAACATGGGCTCTTTGTTTCCTCTGACAACCACTTTATAGGAACAGATGAGAACCCTGTCTTGGTGTATGAGTAAGTAATAACTAGGAACACGTAACTATTATGGTTAACCTTTACTGTTACCATGTAAAAGTTAATCCGATGAGATTAGGCGTGTTCAGGTGGTAGGGCTGTAGGCTGTAAAGTTAACAAGTGGGAACAGTAACTGTCTTTTTCTTTTTTATCGGCACCGGGGATTGAACTCACGACTGCCTGCTTGCAAGGCAGGCGCTTACGCCGCTGAGCTAAATCCCCAGCCCCTTTCTTTTTTATTTTATTGGTATGCTTTAGACACACAGAGGAATAACATTTGTACCTGTGTATCTTGCTTTTCCCCCATTCCCCTCCTCCTTTTAGCCCCTCTCCTTGCTTTGTTTCCAGTTTTCCTTCTATTCTTTTTCTTGTCACTTCTCCCCCTCCCTTGTTCCTCTTTTCATTTGAACATTTTTCTTTCCATTTCCAAATATCTATTATAAATTTTCGCCCTTCTTTATAATTTCGTGTTCTCAAACAAGAGCGATATTTACACATATGTGTCCAATTTATTTAATTAAGAGGATAGTCTCAAGGTGCATCCATTTACCTAGAACTGTCTCAAACTTATCCTTCTTTATGGCAGATTAGTACTCCACAATATTAAAAAAAAAACCCCACCTCTTCTTTATCCATCATTTTAGTTACTTTTCTCTCATTACTGAGACAAAATACCTGACACCCAGAGTTAAAGGAGGAAAGTGTTATTTAGCTCAGTTTGTGGAGGATTCAGTCTATATTCAGCTGGGTGTGAGTCAGGGCGGCACAGCACAGGGGCACCAGCTGAAGGCAGCAGAGGACATCAAAAAGAACAAGAGAGACAGAGAGAAAGAAACAGAGACAGAGAGAGAGAGAGACAGAGAGAGAGAGACAGAGAGAGAGAGACAGAGACAGAGACACAGAAAGAAACAGAGAGAAAGAAAGACAGAGACAGAGAGATAGACACAGAGAGAGAGAGACCTTTTTTTTGTTCTTTACATTATCCCAGTCACAGGGTTAGAGTGGTGCTAATCCAATCAGTGGACTGAGCCAGCAATTACTCACCCTTAGTCCCAGCATTGCACTGCAAATCAATCATGCACTCAAGATTCGGTCACCTCCAAAAAAACCCTAAGACCTCACGAAGTTTTGGGGAAACATCTAGTCACAAACCATAACATCCACTCACTGGTTGATGAGCACTTGGGCTGTTTGTAAGGTTTAGTTATTACGAACTCTGCTGCTATGAACATGGATGTCCATATATCACTGTAATCTGATGTTTTTAATTTTTTCGGGAAGATATCCAGAAGAGGAATAGCTGTGTCCAGTGGTACCTCTAGTCTTGAAGAATCTCCACGCTAATTTCCACAGTGGTTGCACCAGTCTGAACTCCCACCAGCCACGGAGAAGGGTTCCTTTTTTCCTAAAGCCCTGCCAGTATTTGTTACTGATTGATTTCTTGATAATAGCCATTCATTCTGAGGTGAAATGGAATCTCAGTGGTGTTTTAATTTGCATCTCTTGAATGATCAGTGATTTTGAACATATTTTCATATATGCCACTTGTATTTCTTCATCTGACCAGTGTCTATTCATTTCAGAGTCTAATTTTTGGACTGAGTCTTCAAATGTGCTGTGTGTGTGTGTGTAAGTGTGTTTTAGTTCTTTATGTATTCTAGACACTAGCCCTTTGTCTGATGAACAGCTGGCAAAATTTTTCTTCCCACAGTGTGGGTTGTGTCCTCACTAGGTTGCTGGTTTCTTTTACTGTGTAAAAGCTTTTTAATAAGATTAAATCCTAGTTGTTGATTCTTTGTGATAGTTTCTATGTGATCAGGTTTTGTTCATAAAGTATTTGCCTATGTATATGTCTTCAAGAGTGCTACCTACCCTATCTTCCAGAAGATTAAATGTTTCTGTTTTTCTACTTAGATCTTTGATCCATTTTGATTTTAGTTTGATGTATGGTGAAAGATATAATTCTAGTTTTAATCTTTGGCATATGGAGAGCCAGTTTTTCCAGCACCATTTATTAATGAGGCTATCTTTCTTCTAGTGAAAGTATTTGGCTCCTTGTCAAAGATAAAGTGGGTAAGTATGTTTAGAGTTGTTTTTGTGTCTTCTAATCTGTTCCTCAGGTCTTTTTTCCCCCAATACCATGGTGTTTTTTTTTTCAATCACAGTTAGCTTTGTAATACAATTTCAAGTCAGAGATTATGATGCCACCTGCCTTGCCTTTGTTGCCCAGAATTTGTTTTCAGAACTGCTTTTGCTACTCTAGGTCTCTCCTGGTCCCACATGAATTTTAGGATTGTTTTCTCTAATTCTGTGAGATATGCTGTTGGAATTTTGATTAGGATTGCATTAAAACTGTGTAAGAGTTTTGGAAGTATGTCCATTTTCACTACATTAGTCCTCCCTACCCAAGAACAAAGGCTATCTTCCCATTTTCTGATATCTTCTTCCATCTCCTTTTCCAGAGTACAGCAGCTTTCAATGTAGGGGTCTTTTACTTCCTTTGTCAGATTGATTCCTAGATATTTCATTTTTGAGGGGCTGCTATTGGGAAAGCTATTGCAGGAAACAGTAACTTTTGAGGGTATTAATTAACTGCAAACCCCTGAAGTGTATCAGGAAAGGTTTCTTTTACTGTGTAGAAGCTTTTTAATAAGATGAAAGCAGATAGGAGACACTGGTGTGGGGTGGAATTAACTGCAGACCACTCAGACACCCGAGAGAAGCAGAAACTGATAGAAATTGAGGGCAGCAGGCAGACAGAGGCCTGCTCTAGCACATTCCTATGATCTTCTGAACTTCATTTGTTGATTTGCTCTCATGGAAGTTCTGTTTACCTTTCACATAATGGATCCTGCTGTCAGAAGTGGACCTTCCCTGGTGACTTTAAGATGACCTGCCAGCCACTTCTCACTGCTATGTATCTTGGGTGTCTTTGCTCAAGGATTGTGCCCTGCTTCCTGTGGCTTATGTAAGGTGTGTAAAATAGCGCATTATTTGTTCCCTCCAGCAAGGTCTCTGCCTGACAGGCAAGATTCTGTTTTTCTGTCATAAGTAATTATAAATGTATACCTCTTAGAAGATTCTCGATTGGAGGGGCATCATCTATTTTTACCTGTACAGTAAATCATGGAGACATCTCCATCCCTTGGCCGGCCAAAATGTACAACTCAGATATATGACTCTCACTCTGAATTCTCCAGGTCTGAAGAAAAATGGAACGCTATACTTTCTCCCTGGGGTAGTTAGGGAGGAAAACAAAACAAAGCAAAGCAAACCAAAACAAAACACTGGGCACTTTGTTGGAGCAACTGATACTGGTTTACCCCACCTCTGCTTTTTAAACTTCAAATACAGCACTTCCTTCAAAATTCAACCCAGAAGACCGTATTGGTGATGGCACTCTGAGGCTGTCACTCCAGTTATGCACGTGAGACCACCGCCATCTTCCATCTCAACCCCTCTGCTTTCCCGGAAGGTTCTTTTATGCCTCGTCTCCATGGTGTCCCAACAGTCCAGCTCTTTTCTTACAGCCAGAAACCAACGGCCCATCTACATGGTTCCAGGTTGCAGTTTCATCCCTGCCGCCGCCAAGCGTGTACGTTCCCATTACCTGTAGAGCTTTGTGTCGGCCTTTGTTTTAGAAAGCTAATGAGAACACATGCAGGCTCACGTAGGCTAAAGGTGGGGACACAGTCTGAGCACGCAACATTAGGTGAATTCGTCACTGTGTGGTCACAGAGTGAGCCTATGCAAACCTATGAAATAGGTCAGTCACTTGGTGTGACCTCTCAGCCCATCAAAGGACATGGCAAATGGGGTGCAGAAGGCTGCTGGTGGTCACACATGCCTGCTGTTTTACAGTGAGCTGGCTTTTTAAAAAAAAAGTAGAAAGAGTATATTCTAACACTGAAAAGCAAATCCATAAACCAGCAACGTGGCTGTTTATAACTGCCGAGTGGTATCATGTACCACCATAATTGCATGGTCTACATTTTCCCGCAACCAGCACCACGAGAGATGAACCGATACCGCACTGTGCTATGATACTATGATGGCTCTGATGATAGGAACTTTTAATGCTATTATCATCTTATAGAGTACAGCTTACAAATGACTAGGACATCATTATGCAGAGCATGACCTTACACTGGTGATGCACACTATTGTAAGTACTTCATACACGGTACCTCATTGGATCTCCACAAGAAAATATCAGGTGGGGACTACCTGTTGTTAGTTATTTCACAGATGCGGTGACTAAAATCGATAAAGGTCACATTGTGGGTATGATAGATCTGGAAGTCAGATGAAGGTCAACTGAATACTAAAAGCATGCTCTTATGCCTTAAACAATTATTTTCTCTGGGATTAGTTTTTGGAAGGATGGGGACAATTTCTCTCTATATTGTTTAGTTGTAAAGAACCTATCACCCTAAAACATGAAGCATGGGTTACCTCATTTTGGGTGTATAAGTCTCAGTGACAACAGTGGCATCTCAAAGTTACTGATTTTCTTTACAGGAAATTATTTTTTGATGCATAGCATGTTTTGCATTCCTACCTGGAGCACTCAGACTTCCAGAGGAGTCCAGGTGTTGCTTTGATGACTGGTTACCAGGAGGAATAATTGGTGGGCTCAGTACACTTAACCAGTCCCTGCGAAAGAAAGCAAGAAGAGGAAGTGAGCGAACAACACGTCTACAATTCCACGTACAGATTCCATGTTTGGTCTGGATTTTCAGCTCTCTTAAGTTTTCATGAAGAAACATGTTTTGATCTTTTAGATGAACACAGAAAAATAAAATGTCCAGATATTAACATACAGTTTTATAAACTGGTTAACGTGGTGCCAAATTGGTTAAACTGGTTTACCATCCAGCTATATTGATTAAGTGATGACTATTCTGTTCAAGAGTTTGCTATTGCTATTAAAGTGCAACACAGTTTTTCCCACATAAGAAAATTATTTCAGTGACTTGGAAGAAACACAGCATGGTAAGAAGGCCTGATAAAAATCACATATCACATGTCATGGATGACAACATATGACTCAAAACAACTTAGGAGAAGTCATGGAGTCACCATGATGGTGGAGTCAGGGTGCTTTAATTCAGGGCTGCAGACATGCAAACAGCAGGCGCAGAGGAGCAGAGGAGGCAGAGTCACTCGCGGTGCAGGGTGAAGCCGTCCCACATGCCCTGCCCCTCCTCCACTCCCTGCCCTGTGCTCAGACTTCCAGCTTCATCCTCCAGTCTCTACTTTTCTTCCTGCTCCATAACACCCCCAGCCTCCTGCTCCCTTCAGTACATACCTGGGTGGCTATGATTCAAGATGATGACATCCAGAAAACCTGACTCACTGTGCACCTCACCCCAAGCCTTTTCATCTCTACTCACTCCTGGGCACCTTAGGTGTAGGCCGGCCAGGCCAGAGAAAGCCCAGGATTTCCCACTGTGAATTCTATTTCTTTTATGGATGTTGACATCCTGCATTGTTTGCCTTTTTTCTTCTTGACTGAACAAGTTCTCTCTATCTTTGGGTTTTCATACTGCATATTTATCCTCGGAGAGTCTCCCAACGGAGATCACCAGCCCTCAAAGCCAGTGCTGGCTCCGTGTTCCTGAAGAAAAAAGTTGGCCAAGTCTGTTAATATTACTAAGCCTTGTGGAAAATAGAGATAATGAGAGTACCCCCAGACTTTGGATGGTAGGATCAAATAAGAAAGAAGTGCATGAGCTATAATAAAGAAGGATAAATTTGAGTCATTTGTAGGGAAACAGGGGTACTTTGACTAAACAAAGCTAAGTAAAATAAATGAGACACAGAAGGTTAAGTACTGCATGGGTTCTCTTACATGAAAGACCTAAAATATAAGTGCTTTCAGGAGCAAAATAAAAATAGATGGTAGGCTACATGTAATGTATTAACTCTTGTTATTCTATTTTGCTATTATGAAATTTTACTTTCCTTCTTTTTCTATAAAAAAATAGATGGTGGGAAACTGGAAGACAGATTTTGTGAAGACAAGGGACCTGAGGATGGGGAAAGATGGAAGGAAGAGAGAAGTAACAAGGGTCCAGATGCGCTATGTGTTTGTACCAACTCCCCACAAGGAATGTCCTTCACTTGTATCAGAACTGACATCAATAAAAACTTTTTTAAAGTGGGTGGAAAACATTTGGCATGAATCTAGACACGGTTACACTCCATGAACTCCAGCTGTGCCACTGTCACCTTCATCATCAACAGGGATCATGGTGTGGCTCTACTCACACGGTAAGCCAGGAGGGAACTTGATTTTGTTGGAATCAAACCAGTAAAGGATGATAAGGTGATTTCTAGCTCACACAGCTGAGGTATTTCTTGCAAGCCCCTCACTTCTCTGGTAAAAAGGATTTTAAAGTAAAAATGACTCAGTTCCTATCTGTAGTATTTTCAGAGACTCTGAGTCATCTCTGGGTGATGGCTGGTGGGCCGAGGGAGGTGGATGTGCTGCATAACTGAATTTAACAGCAACTCAGTAAGGATGGCAGAGAGGGTTTGTCATAGCCTTCCCAGCAGATGGGGCACTTTATAATAAGCACCATTTACTTAGTCCACTTAAATGTAGCAGACCCAAAAAATCTCTGGGTTACAGAAATTACAGAGTCATATACAAATTACCAGCTTTGTGTTTTTTTTTTTTTGTGGTACCAGGGTTTGAACTCATGACCTCGTGCTTGCCAGGCAGGCACTCATGCTGCTGAGCTAAATCCCCAGCCCTAAATTACCAGCTTGATGACCGTCACTCACTGAGAGTGACGAAGAGCAGGGACAAACAGGAAACAATAATGCTAGGGTCTGATGGCACCCCTTCTCTGATCAGAAAGTGTCATAGTGGGGTGGGAGTTCTCAGTCCACGGAATCTGAGAAATATAGGTGGCATTCGTTGGATGCATGTTATGAAGAGCAAGATACTCACTTCTTAGGCTGTGGTCTGATTAAGGCTATTCTTTCCTAGCAGCTACCCTGGGTGGCATAGGGTTCTTTTTGTAATTGAAGAAAGGTTGGATTTACAGGAAGTCCTGTACATCCTACATCTTTAGATACCCAAATAACCTTTTATCATGTTTGCTTTCAGTCAATTGATAGGGCTTTGTAAACTACATCCTGGGTGCCAAGAATGGCTCTGTCTGCTTTTACATGGCCTGCAAACTAACTTCACAATTGACACCTTTAAATGATTAAATGTTTAACATAATCTTTCATGACCCGGGAAAGTTATACGAACTTCAAAGTTTGGTGTGCACAATAAAGTTCTATTGGAATACTGCTGAACTCCTTTATTTCTGTAATGTCGGTGCCTATTTCTGTGCCACCATGGGAGGTTCATGATTTATCATCTGGTCCTCTATAGGAAATGCTGATGGCCCTTGACCTCTAACGATAGATTCCTCCAGTGCTAATCCAGTACTACACACTCACTGTCTTCTTTCCTCTTTCCATTTCTGTAGGTCTCTTCTATCAGAGAGGATCGTGGCTCCGTTATCCTCATGTATTTACTTATTTCCTGAGTTACAGAAAAAGCCCAAAATAGTTTCAGAATTGCTAAGCAAAACAAAGGAAAAAACCCATTAACACAAAGCAGAAATGAAGACAAACAGCGCACTCCACACCCATTCTTCAGAGCTGTTTGCTATTGTTGTTGGCCAAATATTCTGTGCACAATCCATGCTGTGGTTTCTCCCTGGGCTCAGTGTTGTCATCTGCATCTGAAACACAATCACCTGCCTTTGACTGTATTACATTTTAGGTCTTTTTCTTCCATTCTTGCTGATTTCTATTATTTTTAACTGTTGAATATATAAAAGATTAACACAGCCAAAATAAAAAATAGAAAAGACAATTGGTTGTGGTGCTGTTCTTTGCTTCATTTTGGCAAAACAAACGTGTACAGGTCTATTTTAGCAAACCCCCTTTCAATACAAAAGGTAGCCTTCTGTGGTTACTCGTGTCTTGTTTTCAGGTAACACATCCTGGCAATCATTCCCCATCAGTTCCTAGACAGCCTCCTCATTCTTAGTATGGCTGCTTAATTCTCCACTCTGTGGATTCACTATCCTTTACTTTTCTACTGCTGTACGTTTGGACATGTTTCCAATATTTTATAATTACTGCAATTAACACTGCAATGCATAATCTTTGACATGTCTATTTTTGTACACTTGGAGGTGCACCTTCAAGGCAAAGTCCAGGAAGTGGATTCCTGGAATAAAAGGGAAATGCATACTCAGTGTCGTTAGATACTGACCAAACTCCCTCCCCATTGTGGTGCTGTATCCACTTTCTCACCAGCAGGGGATGAGTGTGCTGGCTCCCCAAGAGCAAAGCCACATGCCTGGTCAAGCTTTTAAATGATCCCCAGCCAGACACACGGAAACTGGTGTCATCAAGTAGTTCTGATTTGGATTTGCTCTCGTTATGAGTGGAATGGCTGTGCTTATGGCCACCTATACAGTGCCCATGTACACATAGTGCACTCTGGGTGTCTCCCAGGGTCTTTTGCCCCTTCTGTCATATTGTTTCTTTCCCTCACTTTGTCATTTTTGTTATTGTGTTTTCTTTGCCATACAAGTTTTTTTTTCTTTTTATGTGGCCAAATGTATCATTTTTTTATTGCTTTATATGTCAAGTCATAGCTTCTCTGTGCAACTAGATTTTATAGGAATTTATCTGTGTTTTCTTCCAGTTATTTTCCTGGCTTTTTAAATATGGGATTCAGATTTCAGATCCATTTATTTTAGCATATGATGTGAGTTTATTCTGGTGTAAAGTGTATCTAATTTTCTTCTTTCTTTTCTTTTCTTTTCTTTTTGAGACAGGGTTTCCTTATGCAGTTCAGGCTGGCCTTGAGCTCACTTTGTAGCCCAGGCTGCTCTCAAATTCACAGTGATCCTCCTGTTGCAGTCTCCTGAGTTCTGGGAATACAGGTATGACCCACCATGCCTAGCTGTCTCCTTTTTTAAATTTAAATTTTTATTTTTTTTTGGCACCAGGGAGCAAACTCAAGACCTCACGCTTTCCAGGCAAGTGTTCATACCACTGAGCTAAATCCCTGCCCTTGTTTCCTTTTTTTGAGATAGGTTCTTTCTTTTTTTTCCCTTTGTACTGGCAGTCACATTTAGGACCTCACACTTGCAGGCAGGCACGGTGCCACGGAGCTACATCCCTGGCCTCTGATAGGTTCTTGCTGTGTAGTTCAGGCTGGCCTTGAACTTTCATTGATCCTCTTGCCTCAGCCTCCCAAGCACTGGCATTACAGATGTGTGTACCATGCCTAACTAATTTTCACTTTTCAAAATGAGTATGGGGTTTAAGTGACTAATTATATTACTTTAATACAGATTTTAAAAGTTTTATGCAATTAAGACATTTTTAATCAAAGCAACTGGTTTGGTTTTCACCAAGCATTCATAAACTGTAATTTTAAAAAGGTTTCCATATTATCTAAAATACAGAAGACTTCAGGTTAATAAAAATTAAAAAAAAAAAGATTTTCTTCTAAGACTTTCCAGGACCTTTAAAGCCCTGTGACTCACCTGAGGAGACGGAACACCCAGCTCTGCCCTAACTTATGCATCTGCAGCTGTCCCATCTCTGGTGACCATGCAATATATCTTAGGAAATGCTGCTCCAGCTAATACCCTTTTCTCATCTAGGTGGCAGTTTTCTTTTCACTTTTGTGATACTTTATGTAAGCGTCTCAGTTACTTTTCTCATCACTGAGACAAAATACCCAACACCCACAAATTAAGGGAGGAAAGTTTACTGAGCTCACAGTTTGTAGAGATTTAGGAGAACAGGTCATGGTGGGCAGAAGCAGCAAGAGCAACAGCTCTGCCTGTCTTATTTTACCCAGATACTCAGGGCAGGTAGTGCCCTTCATCTGAGTGCCCTCGATCCTAACACTGCACAAGGAGTGGACTCCAGGATTCCAGCGTCACACACTCCAGACCCAGCCACCTCTGAAAAAGCCCCACCTGTGTCTGTGAGAGACTCTTCTGGGACATCTAGGCACAAGCCATATAAGGTATGCTTAATATTTTCATTTTTTCTAGGACAAATCTTTTTTTGAGTGACTTGTTAATAAGCAGTTAATGGTCCGACACCTGTGTCTCACAACTTCTTCACTTCAAGTAGTTCTAACTCATGGTCTGGATTCTTCCTTCCTTTTTCTGAGCCAAAGTCTGGCTATGCAGCTCAGGTAGTTCTGAACTCACAAGCTTCCTGCTTCAGCCTCCTGAGTGCGGGGATCACACCTGCGCACCACCTCTACTGGTGTTTTTTTTTTAAACTCTTGACCACACCTTTAAACTTCTACGCCTGTCCTCGGCAAGGATGGTAGCTCTGGGTCAGGCTCACTCACAGCACGCCTGTCCTCACTGTGGCTCCGACCTGACCCATTTCCCCAGACGCCTGTGTCTGGAACCCGTTCTTGCTCTTTGCTCCACCATTCCCACCATGGCTTTGCTCTTTGGAGCTGACACTCAGGTGGTTTCCTCAGCTCAGCTGTCACCCTGACGACTCTAGGCCTTGCCATTGAGAGGCCTCCAGCAACTTTGGTAAGTAAGCTGCTTTTCTAGTTGGGCCTGTTCTCTGAGCAAACCTCAAAACTCCCTGTCCCTCAATGCTGGATTTTTTCCCCCTTCATTGCTTTTTAGGGCCCAGGTGGGCCTCCCAACACCCCTTTCCTCTTGCAGCTCCTAGGCAGACTTATCAACACTAACTGTCAATGGGAGAAATGTTTTATTTGAGTCAGGATAAAGGACTCATTTTAAATGTCACACATAAAAATAGACTGCAGATGAGGAATAAAAATTATTTACTGAGTTTTCATCATGGCCAGATTGATCTAATATTAAAATCTTGACCAAAAAGGAATACCTCATGGTTTTCATTCAACCTGTATATTACACAGTGCTCATTACCTGAGAAAAGCCAAATCAGATAAGAAAAGCCAATCAGAAAAGCCAATCAGTGCTCAAACTAAAGAGATTGTGGCAAAAGGACAACTACAGGCCGATTTCTTTAATTAACAAAGATGTAAATACCCTCAATAAAATACTGGCTAAAAGAATGTGGCAAATCATCAAGAACATAATATACCATCACAAAGTAGGATTCACCCCAGGGATGCAGGGATGGTTCAACATAGGCAAATCAAAAAGTACAATACACCACATTAACAGAACCAAAGACAGAAACCATATGATCATCTCAATAGACGCAGAAAAGGTATTTGACAAAGTCCAGCACCCATTCATGATAAAACCCTACAGAAAATTGGAATAGAAGGTCTTCATCTCAATCTGATAAAAGCCATCTGTGACAAACCAACAGCCACCTTCACAATAAATTATCCAAAACTAAAAGCTTTCACTGTAAAATCAGGAATAAGACAAGGATATTTACTGTCACCACTTCTATTCGGTATAGTTCTGGAAACATTAGTCACAGCAGTTAGACAAGGGAAAGAAATAAAATGAATTTGTAGAGGAAAGGAAGAAGTTAAATTATAATTATGCTGATGATATGATACTCTACATAAAAGACCCCAAAACTCCACCGAACAACTTCTAAAATTAATAACTAAATTAAATAGCATAGCAAGGTAAAGTCAGCAGTCAAAAATCAATAGCATTCCTATACACAAATAACAAGCTGAGAGAGAAATTAGCAAATAAATCAGACACACATAGTCAAATATTGTCCTGTTTCTTGAAAAACCTAATGGGTAAGTAAGGACCAAATGACATAGGGAAGCAGGAAGAGAATGTTCAAATGGGAAAGAGAACAATGGAAGGGTGAGGAAAGGGAAGGAAGGAGGTGGCGATAAAAAGTACAAAATAACAGAAGAAAAACAATAAAAGAAAAATCTGTAAAGGGAAGGAAAAAGAAAGATTGAAGGGAAGGGAAGGAAATGTGCAAAAAAAAAAAAAAAAAAAATCCACAAAAAACTCCCAAACCCAAAACAAAACAAAAAAATTAAAAAATAAAAGAAAGAATAACTATGGCTTTAGCTTCTTTAAACCAGGTTTTGTTGATAAGATACTTTTACATGTATTTATTTTATTAATGTGTTTCCTTGCAAATGCACATATATGCATATAAGCAAAAGATTATATGAGAGCACGTTAACTCCATCATCTGTTTCCACGCAGGGACAGAACCACTCACTGAGCCCCTGCCCGAGGCGCTGGGGGCTGCAGGAAGCCAAGGTGTGGGGCAGGGAGTGTTCCAGCCAGGGACAATGACTACAGAACGGGGGCAGCAGCTGCTGGCTGCTGGGACTGACCAGATCATCGCTAGGGCCCCTGAAGGAATCCCCCACCTCTGTGGCCCGGGACACACTGTGGAGGGAGCGTCTCTCTCAGAAACGTAAAGTACTGAAGGACCACTGCACTGCTGTCATTTGCAGTGCTGAGCTGTTTGCTGCCGTAGAACTCTGTCCGGGGCATAGGCGGTGAAGCTCTTCTCACAGGGTCTCCTGTCAGGGCTTAGCAGGCTGCAGCACTCTCCAGCCAGTGCTCAATGAAACTCATTTGGTGCCAGAGCACATCTGTTAGGCATTTGAAAAAACTGAATTTAAAAACTTTTCTATGGTTGGGGAAAACACTCGGGAGAGGACCGTTAAATACCTCACTTCAAAGGGGAGGAGAATTCAGATTCTTTTTAAAAGCTGGTGAAAATTGCTTCATAGGAAAATCCTAATGCCAAACTGCATTTTCAATTTCAGGAGGACACGTCTGAAGCCAATTTATGATTTCTGGACCCCCATAAGAGCACTTCTGCACCATGGGCTCTGACTGAGGCAATGTGGTGTGAAACCCACTCTTGGGTAAGTTCTTCTGCTCTGCCCCAGAACAGTGAATGTATGAGGCCTTACACATCAGCAGGTCTCTGCCGTAACTATTCAGCTCTGCTGTTGGATCGGGAAAGCCGCCATAAACAGCACATTTATGAATGGCATGGCTGAGTTCTGATGAGTCAGGCAGTAGGCAGGACAAGGCCCATGGGCTGGCTCGATGATACCTGCCTCAGGAGAACTGAAATACACAACTTCTAAGAGTCTTAAGAGAATTCCTGCTAATTTTCCTCCTGAGTATCTTTTGAGTTCACCGTTTTTACTATCTCTTCCGCCACTGATGTGTAAGCCTCACGTTATCTGCAGCAGAAGCTCTGAAGTAATCCCAGACCGTCACTCATGCTGGCTTCCCTTCTCCTCTGTTGCCTGTGCTGAGCCCGTGCTCCAACTGCTGTGCAGGGTGAGACCCTACAGTATCGCTGGGAAGCCCCTGTACTTGGACAAAGACCAGATTCCTTACGGGGGCCTTCTGAGCCTTTGCATCAATGGTCTATGGACTTCTTCAGCCTCGTTTTGTATGTGCTTCTCACCCGCAGTGCTCCCGCCACACCAGCCTTCCTTTAGGTCTTGGTTATGCCGGAGGCTGTGCCCCTTGCTGGACCATATCCTGCCTTCTTCCTACTCTCCCCTGGCCTGGCAAAGCCATGCCCAACCTGGACACTAGCTCAGACATCCGACTTTTGAGAAGTGCCCTTTGACATGCCCTGTCCGATCCAGCAGGGTTCTTTCCTTCTCCTCCTCACAGAGCAACCAAGGTCTTCTCCCTGTGAGCTCTTGTTTCGGTGTGGCATTTCCACAGCATGACTGTCTATTAACTAATGCTCCATTTGTAACACCCAGAACTCAGTCAGAGTGGTGCTGGGTGTGGAAGGCCTGCCTGAGGACTGCTGCCCACAGCATAAAGGAGAGCTGGAGGGGAAGGTGGCATGCTGTTGATCCTCCTGGAGAAGTCTGTCACACTAGCTTCCTGATAGGAATTCGGCCCTTCTCACTGTCAGACGGGCTCAGGTCCTTGCTGTCACTGCAGATGGCTGCAGTTCTCCTGGGGGAGCTCTGGTCCTTACCTTCAGCATCGCTTCTGGCTCCAGGGCAGATCCCTCGACTGCTGGCACAGCTCCTTCACCCTGCTGGCAGACTTTCTAGCTTCCTGCACTGGCCTTTGGGCTTTCCCAGTGTAGATCCTTGACAGACAGCTGCACAGAGACATTGGTGTGGGCTCTAGGTCCTCAGCTGGACTCGTGTGGACATGGTCACAGGATCTGGGCCCCCATGTGGATTCTTTGGGTCCCCACTGCGTGGAAAGATTGCTTGCACTCTTCTGCATTTGAGTTTTTGGTGCATATTACAAAACAGCCCTGTAGATCATGTGTCCCATATTAGACTCATTCCCTGGCTGACCTTGATTGCAAGTGACCAATGCTGTGATGCTCCCTGCTCTGGCTCCTCCTCCTGGCTTGCTCTGTACCACTTGCTAGGAGCTCTCCATCATCAGCTCACCACACAAAGGGTACACACAATTTGGGGTGACACACACCTAGGGACACACACCTGCTTCTATATAGCCAAGAAAAATGTAATTTTCCACCTCAGAAAATAGAATGTGAGTTGAAAAATATATTTACTAGCATAAAAACATGGAAACATATGTTTCTCTTTTTGTGAAATTATGTAGGGAGCCACGCGACCGCTCCACTCTCCCCACCTCTCCCTTATATGGGCACGTAGTGCGCCTACATCAACCATGATCCTCTCCTGCTCATGTCACATACACGGACATGATGATGACCCATCAGAGATCACCCCGTAGCCTCTTCTTGTCCCACCGGCCACCCTTGCCCTATAAAAGCTGCGACCACTTCTTCAATAAATGAGACTTGATTGGACTTCCTCAACTTGTCTCCATCTCTCTTTGTCTCTTGCCCTGTCTTTGTTAATCCCCGTTCCTCCTCCAGGTGGTTACCCCGCGGATTGACCTGCGGGCCGGGTCAAAATTAAACAGACAAGTGCTCTTAGGAGCTTTTCTCCTTAAAATTCATCTCCCATTTCAGGTAAGAAGCTCACCTAGGTTGGGAACTCTTGTATGTCTTATTAGATGTACTGCATAAGTTATTAAGATGATAAGGTCTAATTTGAATTTTTTCTTCAGGAGGTCTCTAAGCAAATTCTCAGTGTTGGAAGAACAATGTATTCCTGGAATCTGTGCTCTGAAACCCTTCTACAGGATTCTCACCAGGAGATTACCTAATTTATCCCTGATTACCATCAGTAACTACCTACCTGCTGCCTTCCAAGTCACATCTCCCTTTCAAATAGCTTTGACTACAAAGCCTTTTTCTTTTCACTCCCCATTGTTTCTACTACTTTATCCTTAGGGCTACCATGGAACAACTCTTTTTTCTAAAAAACTGAGAAAGACTCTTGTACATCTTTATGGTATGATGATCCCGGCACACGGACGCAGTGTGCAGTAAGAAGATAAGGGTGACAAGCACTCCACGTTTGCAAACATCAGTCATCTCTACTATGCCTGAACTTCTGGACTCTTCAGTCATCATGACTGCCATAAACTGTTTTAACCCTGCTTACTCTACTTCGTTAAAGAAGAACCAGGACTCATTCTTCCACTTTGCTTAGCTGTCTCTTACCGAACTTCTTTCTGTCTCTCCTGTCTCCCTGACCTTCCCAGTCATCAGTGGCCACTACGCCCCTGGATTCTCATACAGCATCAGTTTACACAGTAAGTGAGGACACATAGTATTTGTCTTATGCATGGCTTAATCCAACACAGTCACCTCCAGTTCCATCCAAATGGCTGCAAACGACAGAATGTTATTCTTTTAAATGGCTGGGTAACATTCCATTGTGTGTGCAGGCCACGTTTTATCTACCCATTTATCCAGACTGACTCACACTTTCGTATGATGCAAAGTGCTGTGGGCACCATGCAGTGTGAGTATCCGTGTGAGATCCTACTGGGTCCATGACCTCGCTGCCGCTGGACCCAGTAGAATCACTGGGTCACATGGCCGCTCGACTGTTAATCTCTATATTGTTTTCCATAATAGGCAGAGTAGTTCATATTCCTGCCAACAGTATGAGAAAGCTTTCCTTTTCCTGCACCTCAGCAGTATTGTTATTTTTTGTCTTTGATGACAATCATTCTAACTGGGGTGAGAAGAGACCTCACTGTGGTTTTTACTTGCATTTCTCTGATGATCAGTGAGAATGAGCAGTTTTTACATACTTGACCCTTGCATGACTTTTTTTCAGACGTGTCTACTTTTTACCCCCATTAAAAATTTTTATTTTAAAGAAAGAAAAGAAAACCATAACAACGAAACCAAGTTTCAAAACAGGTTAGTAAGACCATTACAACTGCTGATACATTGTGTACTGTCTTTGTGGTTGTTGTTTAGTGTACAAGATATAAGCATTCCTTGTCCAAAAAATGTTAGCACAAACTTCCTTTTCAAGGAACAGAAGCTAGCTGTGTAACTATTGTAACTAACTTGTGTGTGCACGTATTTTTCCTTCTCCCTTTCTTTCCCCTACTACACTTTGTCTTTTCTTTTGAGCAGTTTTTTTTCTCAATTCACAATATCTATTGTACATTTTCATCCTGTTTACTTGTTCAGTTTTGCATACTAGTGAGGCACTCATGCTGTTTACACACATGGGTCTGATTTATTTCACTTATGAGCATGGTCTCTAGTTCCATCCATTTACCTATAAAAGTCTCAAGTTTAACATTCTTTATGGCTGACTAGTACCCTTCATATAAAAATACCACATCTTTTTTATCCATTCCTTGGTTGAGGGGCACCTGGATTGTTTCCAAGATTTAATTATTACTGTTGTGCTGCTGTGAACATGGTGCACATATATTGCTGTAGGTGACTTTTTAATGCTTCTGGGAAAATACTCAGAAGCATATTAAGCCCATATTTAACTGCATTTTTTCGAGTTCAGTTATTTAAGTTTCTTATATATTTTAGATACGAACACCTTGTCAGATAAATAGTTTGTAAATATTGTTTACCACGCGGTAGACACCTCTGTACTGATACTGCCTTTGTTGCACAGAAGCTTCTTGGCTCAATATAATCTCATTTGCCTGTGTACTTCTACTTCTGTTGTCTATGCCTCTGAAGTGTTTCCTTGTTGTAATTTCATGATTTAAGGTTTTACATGTAGGTCTTAGATCCATTTTGATTTTTTTCTGTGTAAGGTAAGGCAAAGGGATCTATTTATTCTCCTCCAGTTGTACATGTGATTTGGCCAGACCATTTGTTGAAAAGACTTTTCTCTACTGTATGTTCTTAGAGCTTTTGTCAAAAATCAGTTGGCAGTGTGGGTTTTCTATTCTGTTGCATTAGTCTGAGTTATATTTTTATGTCAGTACCATGCTGTTTCAGTTACTATAGCTCTGCAGTATGTTTTGAAATCAGGTATTGTGACCTGCTGTCTCCCCTACCCCAGTCCTCCCAGAATTCTTTTAGTTATTCTGGGTTTTCCATGATTCCATGTGAATTTTAGGGTTTTTCCTATTTCTATGAAGAAAGTCACTGGTCTTTTGATGGAAATTATATTGAATCACTTTGGGTAGTATATTTATTTTAATAATATTGATTGTACTGATCCATGAATCTGGGATAGATTTCCTCTTCTTACTGTCCTCTATAATACCTTTCATCTGTGTTTCATAGTTTTCACTGTAGCGATCTTGTACTTCCTTGGTTAACTTAATTCCTAAATATCTTATTTTTTATAGCTACTTTGAATGAGCTTGCTTTTTAAGTCTGTTTTTCAGCAAGTTCATTGTTGGTGTATAAAAATGTTACTTTTTTGTATGTTGACTTTGAATCCTTCAACTTAACAAAATACTTTCCTAAACTGTAATTTATTTATATTTAGTTTTTCTATGCACCAGTCATGTCATCTGCATACACTGCCAATTTAGTTTCTTCCCCCTTTTCTTTCTCCTACTTAACTGCTCTTGCTAAGACTTTCAGTACTGTATTAGGAAGTACTTAGTGGACATCCCTGCCCTGTGTTTGCTCTTAGAGAAAATATTTTCAGCTTTTCTAGGAACAGTTCTAGTCTCTCGAAGACACAGTAGAAGGAGCTGACTAGTGCGCATTCCTCCCCCCGGAGTGGGAAGGCTTTCTAACGACATGGCTTTCTGGGCCTTGCCATGTTCCTCCATAAATTTATGAGTGTAACCAGCTAATTGGCCCACAGGTGGGCACCTCACCTAATCTGCGACAATCACGGTGTTTCTCTGGAGATTCTCACACTGGATCTGAGGAGAGACAGTCCCACCATGAAGATGGAAGCTCAAAGACTGAAACCAGCTGCCACTGGTGACCACATTTCTGTAATACAGAGGAAACTAGCTTGGTAAGAGAACAGGGGAGAAAACAGTCTGTTTTCTGAGGATATGAAACAGCACAAATACTACTGAATGAATTAGGAAACTGAGGCGATGCGAGATTTTGGCTTAGCATAAGTGTTGTGAGGTCTTGGTAGTTTCTCCATGGGAAGATGTGCTAGAAAAACTTAGGGCCCATCGCTAAGTCCCACCTTAGCTCTGAACATGCTGACGTGTCTTCAAACTCACGGCCATCATCCGAGTCTATCCCTCTAGCATGCCTTCTCATTTTTTCTCCACAGAGGATGTCCCATAATCCAGCCCAGATGAGCTTTTAAAAATTTGCTCTTAAAGTAAAACCCAACATAGCAACACTGGCTTAAAGCCTCGCATGGCCTGGTCTTTAGTATTTCTCCCTTCCCCTCCATGTCACTATCACACTACTTTCGGGCTTCAGAAGGAACCCTAAATCCTCAGTCCCTTTTCTCACAATGGTGGACTGTAGTCTCTCTGTCCTCTAGCTGTAAGCTCAAATGCTACTTCACACAGGTCCCATGTGAATTATCCAGCAGCCAACATCTCAGCAAGAAATACTTGCACTCAAACAGGATGGTGGGGGGAAGATTTCAGAAGGGTATTGGCAGGGTGAGGGCAGGGATAAGGAAGCCTGAAGGACTGCACAGAATCTCAGAGCTGCTGCTCTGCTCCCAAGCCTTGAGTAAGGAAGGAATAATCACAAGTGAGAAGGCAGAAGGCACGGAAAGAGGCTTCCCTGAGAGGATCTGGAAGCTTGGGTCAAAGTTCGCAGTGGGCCTGAGTTAGCGTCACAGACAGGGTGCTGAGCGGGAGCAACCTGACTTCCTTCTCCATCCCTTTCTCATCACATGTGCTGAACCCCATCAGAAGCCAGAGGCCAGAGGCCAAGGGAGTCCCGAGGTACTTCATGCTCGCCATCCTCTCAGGGAGCAGAGCAGAAGGCCGAAGCACAGAGGATGAACCTAGGAGGCTAAAGAAGATCCCCGCATGACTTCTACACAGGTACGTCAGTGTGTGACGAGCTACCCAGCTGTGTGACTGAGCCATGCACACTTCCTACCCCACCAATCTCAAGGTCCACAGGGAGGCAGCCAAGTGTGTCCTCATATGTCAGATTTTCAATGAACCTTTGCTGATTGAGCGACTACTTGCACAGAGGCCAGCGCTGCAAGGGAGAGACACTCAAGTGAGAGCACAGGGCTCTCACTTGTGGGAGGTCAGGAGAACAGGCTCTGAGAGCGGTGAGAGGCAGCAGGAATCTGAGAGGCAGACATTTCTCCTCCTCTTTTTTTTTTTTTTTTTTTTGTCTTTTTCTTTTTTATCAGTACCAGGGATCAAACTCACGACCGCACACTTGCAAGGCAGGTGCTTATGCCGCTGAGCTAAATCCTCAGCTCCTCTTCTCCTCCTCTTAACAGTGCTCCCAGAGGTGTCCGTAATAAGGTGGCATCTGGAATAGGGTCTTTTTCAAAGCAACAGTTGAGAAGCACACTGTAAAATCAGCACTGTCTTTTCATCTCACATCAATATAGCTGTGTTTGGAGATAGGTAACAAGCACTTATATAGATGGGAAATCATGCTTTCTCACTGCCTCTACGCTACAGCTTCTCCTGCTCATGTCCTTTGTCATAAAATCCATAAAGTGGAGAGGGCTCAGTTCCTGCCAAGTGCTCCGTGCTTCAAGAACTCATAGAAAGTAATGCCTTCTTCATCTTCATTTAAATATACTTTACACATTCTCTGCAGAACTGAATGTCTTTCTGGTTTGGCAGTATTTTCCCTTGGGCTGAGAAAATATGAATGATACAGCATGTTACAACCATTTTCCAGCTAAGGCTCCATTAGATATGGCAGATAATTTAACTCTGGAGGCACAAATCTAGACATGCGGCACCAAAGGGAACCTCAACACGTGAATGCTGACATGCTGCGTGTGCGAGACACCGTGGAAGAAGTCTGACTCCTTCCTTTCCTTCTGTCTATTGCTACCAGCACAGCTATTTTATAGTATTACATTTAACAAACGCCTCCTGAGCCCCTGTAGTGTTATAAACTTTACGATGAGGTACTGAGTTTACTGGGAAGGCAGAGTTAGACTGGCATTTGTAAGACAGCCAGTAGGTGGTATTAGGTAGAGCCGAGCCCAGGGAATCTGGCATAGCCGAGAGAACAGTTTACGGCAGGCTCTATAGCAAAGGTGATGAAAGGGTTCTTCCTGAAGGGTCAGAAGAAGGCAGCAGGGCAGACAAGTGGCAGGCAGAAGGAGCGAGAGGTGAGAAGAGCTTGAGGCCCTCTGGGAAGCAGTGTGAGATGGCGGCAGAGGGCTGGCGCACACACCGGGTGAGGAGACGGTAATACGAGGCAGGAGGGAGCGGGGTGCTTGGGTCACTGGGGCAGATGGGCAGAGAACAGACTGATGGGGAATGAGAGAGTGACCCTGAAGTTTAATGAGGAGCTTGCTGCTGTACAATAGGCAAAAAATAAATTTTGAAAAGTAGTACAGAGGTGTATGGAAATACACATGCGAAACAGAACCTCCCCTTGACAACATCATCCACCTGTGTCAAAAGAGCTTGTAACTCAGTGAAATCAGAATATGCCACCCTGAAATATAGTTTAGAATACTGATCATTTTGAGCTGGAGGCCAATTAGAAATGGTAACGGAAAGAAAAGAGCTAATGTCCCTCTTTTTTCCTAAAAGCAGGGCCACTTATTTCCCCTGAAAAAGACGCTGTCCTTGTAGTAGGAAGAGAGTATTTTCATCATCAGTGTGGCACTCTAACATCGGGATGAATCTGCAGAAGACCCTTCCTGACGTGACTGTTCTTTTCCATTAGCGTCTCCAGATGTTCTCTAGCCACCTTCCCACAACCTACTGTCTCTAGCTGAAGCCCTTCCCTTGGTCTTGTCACAGTGAAACAGCTTATCTCTGTTAAAATGGTGCAGAAAGGCTGAGGCGGGAGGACCACGGTCTGAGAGCAGCCTAGATTACATAGCAAGATCCTTAAAAAACCGGCTTCTCAGCACAGCCCTCTTTTGGCTCTTTCCTTCTTTTCTACAAAGGTCTCAAAGCACGTGCGAAAATTAAAATATGGACATTGAGCACAGTCTACAAGCTTTCCCCTTGTTAATCGGATTCATAAGGCCCAGTCACAGACGCAAAGGAGGAGGAAAAGCCTAACCTTCCGTCTCCCGAGAAGACATCTTGTCCGTCTTTCTTCCAGAGTGAAGATTTCTAGGCATTTTGCCTCAAGGAATTCGCTTTCTCATAGACAATATTTTAAGTACTTTTGTGTGTCCTATGTATTAAGTTAAATTTGAATGGGTATTGAGTTTCTTCCTATGTGCTCAACACTGTTAGACATACAAGGATAAGGCACAGATATAAATGGCACAGATATAAATGGACAGGTCAGAAGTAAAGAAACACACATGTCCTCCAAAATGTGAAAAGTCCTTAGCCCTGTGTATGATCACAGAGGTACAAATTAAAATCAGGACATCCCACAGACACTCAGCAGCTTGCCACAAGTTCTGAGGTCGGATGGTCTGCATACGGGACGGGGAAATGACCCTCCCTGCAGTGCTGGAGAGCAAGGGTGGTGATGGTCTGTAACACCACAGTAACTTTCTGACCAAGCAGTCCCCCTGCTCACAATCTACTGTCAACACGTACTGTACTTGTTCAACCTCAGAAAGTTATGGGAATGAAGATGTTCACGATAGCACGACCTGCAGAATAAAACCTGGAAACCACCGACATGCTGGCCACAGGGACTGGCTAAGGAAACAATGACAAATTCAGACAGTGCCTTTCCAGCAGTTGTGAAAAATGGGATGGTCTAAATGTACAAACTCAGACGTGGAGAGATCTGTTTAGCAGAGAGTTAAAAAGAGAGCTTAGTCTTATTTTTATCTCTTTCAGGCAGAAAGAACATGTGGATATACGCATAGCGAGTTTCTGAAGAGTGTCCAAGAAACTGTTAACCATAGTCACATCTGGCAGAAGAACTGTAGGGGTGGAGGTGGAGGAATAGTACCTGTTTTTTACTTTGTACCTTTTTACACTGGGTGAAGTTGTACTTGCCCTACAGTTTAAAAAATTTTTTTATCTTTATTTTCTGGTTTCTTGGTATAGGGTCTCACTATGTAGGCCAGGCTGGCCTTGACCTCATGGTGATCATCCTGCCTCAGCCTCCTTAGTGCTGGCATTACACACATGCACCAGCAAACCTGGCCAGTTTTGTGTTTTTCCCCAGTGCAGGCTGCAGGTTGGTGGGAGAGGGGTGAGTAGAGGAGAGGGATGGAACCCAAGGAACTTGAGCATGCTAGGGTAATGCTATACTGCTGGGCTATATCCCTAACCCTGTTTTCACTCTCTCCCCTTCTCCTCCACCCTTTTCTTTCTCTTTTGATCTATAGATTGAACCTAGCACCTTGCATTGAGCTACATTCGCGGCCACTTTTCAGTTTTTACTTGAGATAGAGTCTCCTAAATTGCCTATGTTGGGCTCCAGCTTGTGGTCCTCCTGCCTTAGCCTCTCAAACAAAGGAGATTTCAGGCCACTGTGCCTGGCAGGCACTCTGGTTTTATTTTTAAGGCAGAGTCTCTGTCTTTAGGAAGTTCTAATGTGATGAAATCCACCAGGAGGTTTCCCTAAAGCACATCTTAATATCAAAACCAATGTTGAAGGTTACAGATGCTTCCTGGACATAGATGCTAGATTGGTACCTTAACCCACGAGGAGACAAGAACACGGCTGGCTTCCCTCGTGCCAACTTGTCCCTTCTAAGCTAAATCCTAGCTGCCGACCCTACTGGCATTGATCACAGCACAATCATTTTGGGTGTTCAGGAATGTTGGTAATGTTCCTGGAAACTGTCAGGTTTTCATCGGCATAAACCACAGCTATTTTACCTACAGATATGACTAAAACATTACCTGATCTGCCCCCAACACATCATTCACAAACCTGAGCTGACTTCCGCAGGGTCAGCTCTGGTGATTCAGCAGCTTAACCTGACCGAGGACACTTGCGGCCAGAAGCCAGGTGCCACAGAGGGGAGGCCTGCTCGAGCTCAGGGCACACAGACTCTTCACGCGGAGACACACGTTGACGTGCATGTGAAAACATGCATGTGATTTTAATGCTATGCTTTAATTTGCTTCTCCAAGGCCTTCCATCTTTAGTTCTTTTTCTCTTTTGGCTGCTACAGGATAAATGTTCATCAGCCTCACGGAAAACTTGGAAGTGACTCAGTTCTCCTTTACCTTTCACTGGAGGGGAATCACTTTGGGGTGAAAATTTTCAGGAAGTCAGTTTATCTCCTCAAAACAGGAAAACTAATCAAGCATTGTCTGATTAATTAGAGACACTTGAAAAAAATGTTATCACAGCTTACAGCTGTAATCAATTTAATCAACATGCAAAGAGCCAATCTATGGTTTTCTTGATTAACAAAGCTGAATGTTAAATAGAGAAGTGTGACATTATAGCATCATTACCTAAAGCTACAAATTGAGAATTTTCCCTAAATATTCAAAGCTAGTCAGGATAAAGTGAAAAATCTCTCATAATACTCTCCCCTCCCCTCCCCTTCCCTCCCCCCTCCCCTCCTTTTGTCTTTCTTTTTTCCTCTTTTCTTCCTGGTTCTAGGGGTTGAATTTAAGGCCTTTGCACTAAGCTATGTTTCCAGCCCTTTTTTCATTTTTTATTTTGAGCAAGGGCCTTTATAAGTCATTAAATTACCCATGTTGCTCTTAAACTTGTAATCCTCCTGCCTCAGCCTCCCAGAGTCCTAGTGTGAACCATGATACCAGCTCATACTCTATTCTTACCGGGAGCACCATGGGCACGCACATTTCAGTGCTACAGGACAGTCTGCAGGAGAATAAGCTTCCTCTGAGTAGCAGAAATGAGAAATGATATGAGAAGGTGCTGAGGCAAACTCAAATCCACACTTGCCACATAGTCACAGAATAAAGGTTACCACACAGTGACGGTGTCAGTGGTTATTGTTACTGAAAACTTCCGACAAAGATTCTCTCTAAAGCAACTTTCCGTAACACCTTTCAAAGAGTTATCAGGCAGCTGCATGCTACGCGCTTCATGACCAAGTCATGAGCAAACGAAGAGCAGCACATTTTGCAAA